GTTAAGAGACACACCACTTCAACAAAACATAACGGGCGGAATCAGAAATGTACAAAAACCAACACCTTGTTAGCTCACAGACGTACAGTTACAGCGGGGAGCCTCCGCCTCCACGGTTCTGGTTCGAGCTGAGGGTAAATTTACGCACATACCTACCCTTGTGCAACACTTTGTTTGCATGCCAGGGCCTCTACCTCAGATTGTATCGCTGTCATCGTACATCATTCTGCACCGCTCAAGTCAGTAAACCCATGAACTGTTGGTACACATTAGATCAGAAACCCGCTCCAGGCTACTGGAATCAGTAAACGTAAAGGGGGGAATGGGAGCCACATGGTTACAAAGGCAAACTGTGCAGGCTTTGAAAAGGGGCGAGATGAATAATGTAGCATCTGATGAGGTCATGGCGCAGAGACACGTCCGACATGTCAGGTTCTATTTTGGTTTTCATCGTGCAAAACCTTTGTGCCTCGAAGTTGAGATTCTTTCAACAACTTTTTACCAGCTGTTTTTGTACCTCAACTGACATGTGACCCCTAAATACTGTTTTTTTCCAGTGCATATGGAACGTATATACGTCCTAATCTCATCTGAGCATATTTGAGGTTTAACTCTAATTATAACCTCTCTGTAATCACACTGTAAATTAATCCCACATCTTCGCAGACAGCACGCTGGATTTACGACCCGCTCTCTGTCGCTTTCACACAAACAAAGTTAGATTTATGAATGAGTGACTATAGTGACGCATTTCTAAATAACATCAGTATTAACCACCAACATTCGACGGTCATGTTTGGTTCATTTATTTATTATGGGAAAACAGCAGGACTTTATTATATTATATGGATAAAACACTACGGTTTGAACGGCTTTCGTTTTTAATTCATCCGTCATCTACCACCTTGACCTTGTCAGAGTTTATCCCCCGTCTGCAGACATGGACAGACATGGAAAATATCATAATTCATCCAAATTTACCACAGTGGCTGTCTGCAGGTGAGATGTGTTAGGGAGAGGTCAAGGGTTAAGAACATCAACAAGGCCGACTGTGTCAGTGGAAAGAATCCTGCTGACCTCTTCACTGAAGATCACAATCTTCACTGCAGCAGCTTCCTCCATACATTGACTGCTGTCACTTCGCAGAGTCACTGGTGATCAGCTGATAATGTTTCCTTAAAGTCAGACCTAAAAACAATAGGCCTTTCACAGTGGTGGAGAACAAAGCTGAAGTATATGATGCTGAAATTCCATTTACTGCTTTTTTTTTTTTTCAGCCACATCAACCGGTCTTCAGCTACGACATGGGTGTCAAACTCAGATTCACAGTGGGCCAAAATTAAAAACTGGGACAAAGTCGTGGGCCAAACTTAATATTTATTGAAAAATTGATGTCAACTGTGCATGTAATGTCAAATTTTTTCATGCGGAAACAAACTTTAGTTTTGCGTAAAACATCTGGAACAAACAAAGCGTAATATTATAAACACAATTAAATTAGAAATAAAACATTAGCTGGAATAAATAATAATCAATTGCAGAAACATGCATTAGTCTGTTATGGACATCTATACCAGACTGTGTTCTGTTTGTATCAAAGTCTCGATGACTTTTATTTTAAAATATTACCAGATTATCGTCAAATAAAGAAAGTAAATGGATATGACTGGATTTTCTTTGAATGAAGTAAATTAGAAAAAATTAAGCACATTTTTTCACTGTGTCCCACTGCAGGCCGGTCCAAATGACTTATGGACTGGTAC